CTCCTTTTGCGCCCGAAGCAAGAACAGAAAATTGTGCCCCCCCCAACAGGCCTGCGGCGTTATGTGACGTCATGCGCCCCACCTCCAGGATGGCGGTGCACATGTGCAGAACGTGCCGGTGGCCAAATCCAAAATAGCATAAAAATTTGTTTTTCGTTTGATGAAACTAATAAAAATGTTTTTAGTTTCGTCCAAAACAAATTTTTAGTCTTTCACATGTCTAATAATGTGTGTGTGTCTTTTTTCTGCAGCCTCTGTTCTAAATGAATGGAGAGCACTACAGAGGCTTCCCATTAATTCAGAAAATATTTACTATCAGCCAGTTTCTGAATGGGGAGAAGCCTCTGTAGTGAGTGGCGGAGCGCCACTTTCTCTCCACCACTGCTCGGCCATCCTGAAGTGACAGCACTCCTGTGAGATGTACTAATCCCAGGAGCTCTGTGTGCTCCTTACAAATGATAGCTGCTTCCTAATTTGTGAATTTTTCTCTAGTGTAGTCTTGTAGCTCAAAAGTATCGGTACATGTACTCGTACTTGTACCGAGTACTGTACTTGGTATCTGTGCAACCCTACTTATTTGTGTGTCACTCGGCTTTAGATCCTCAAATAATCTCTGAATTCATGCCGACACTGTCCTTCCTTCTGGAGGGTGGCTACTTTTGTCGCCAATAGTCCCTGTGTGTGTTGTAAAGTAGCCACCACTCCAAGCTCGCTTCCGTGATGAACTGCAATTTCACTACAAATTAGTAAACTAAACATGAGATTTTAGTCCATCACAGGAGTGAGCTTGGTGACTACTTTACAACACACAGGGTCTATGGGGAAGGATGCAGCTCCAGTTTTGAAAACCCATTGCTTTCATATAGCCGATATTATCTGCATTTGTTACTGTATTTTTACTTGCTATTTTGTTTTTTTATTAAATATTTCCAAATTAGTTTTCCTTGTGTTTAAATAAAGTTTTGTTACAAAAAGAATGTTATTTAGTAATCAGGTAAGGCAGGGGTGGACAAATTGAATATGGAATATGGATAATATTATATATGGAATATATATATGGAATATGGAATTTTCCATATATATATGGAATTCAGAAGCCATTTTGTCCAGATGCCAAATTGATTTTTTTAGGAGCGATCTTCATTGACAACAATTAGGGAAAACCTCAAAAGTTGGGAATCTGCTGTAATTTTTAAGGAGCATTGGTTACCTGGGTCCTGGGATTTGTTCAGGACTGATGTAAGGTTTAGCTTGAAATTGAAAGAACATTCAAACTTTTGAAAGTACAGTAAATAAAGACTGTTATTCAGCAGTATATTTGTCAGCATTTTTATTGTTAAAGTGGACCTATCCTGTCACTAACTTGCTGATAAAGCACAGGTACCTGCAGTTATGTTCGGCCCTTTAGTGCCTGGAGTGGACCCTGAATCCTAAGCCCAGACTTTATTTAGGACCTTTGTGCTTCTCCAGGTCTGAGCTCTGGCTTTACTAAAGTCCTACCTTCTCGCACTCAGTTGTCAAAAGTTAGAACTAGGGATGGCCCGCTATCGATACTAGTATAGGTGCTGATACCGAGTATTTGGGTGACAGAGGTGTGGAATTCGTATCGCCCGACGCCCAGGACATGTAGTTCCGGGTGCCGGCAAGTGTTTTTTTCACTATTTTATCCCTGCTACGGACAAGTAGCAGGGCTGTTTTTTTTTCTTAAATGAGCGCCGAGAGCGGCGCTGCAAGCGGGGGGCGGAGACGGAACGCTGAGAACTGGTGATGGAGCGGAGGGCGTGGAGCCGTGACGGAGCGGGGGGCGTGGAGCCGGACGGTGGAGCTGTGACAGGCTCTGTCACCTACCTCAGCCTCTGTCCCCGGCGGCCACTGCTCGTTCCTGTCACAGGAGTGTGCCAGAACTCCTGTGTTGGAGGTGACAGGGTCAATAAAGAGTACCTGTCACCTCCAAATGCTATCACACAGGGAATTATTATTCCCTGTGTGATAGCAATACAGTTAAGTTTTTTTTTAAAAATAGTTAAAAAGAAAAAGTAAAAAATAATAATTAAAAATGTAAAAAAATAAAAAGGCGATTTAAGTAAAAATAATAAAATAAGTAAAAAAAATTTACAAAGTAAATAAAAATTTAAAAAATGAAAACCAGCCCTGCTGCCCCCATGCGAATAAACGTGCAGTGTTTTTAACTGCAATGGTGGTGTGCGATCCGTGACTGACCGGTCATCATGCACGAAACCGAGCGGATGGCTGGGTGGTCACGGTATCGCACACCACCGCCCATCGTGCTGTCAGTGCCATTATTTTCTAATGGCACCCCAGTCGTGCCAGGCAGATTGCGCGTTTTACGGCTGCAATACCGCCCGGGCGATCCCACACGATCACGGTTGAAAACACTGCGCGGTGCATGTCGTGAAAATAGGTACATCTACCTTTTTTCCGCGATTGCCACGCAGATGTAACCCCACACATGCGGATGCAACCGCTGTATGCAACCGCACACAATCGCACGTCCTGGGAATCCCCAAGTCTGCACCAACCCTAAAGGGTTTATTCACTTTCCCAAGTAATTTGGGAAAATTGAATTACCCACACAAATCTCCCTCCCACTATACTTGCCTTTCGGTAAACGGTACTTCCCGTCCACAAGTACGGGTGTACTATCTGTACCTGTTCCATGTATTCTGAATTTCGCTTGCAAATTGCAAGCACTCGTCAGGTCAACGCAGTCACCTGACGGCACCGACCAATGAGAAGTGCTTTTTAGAACTACTAAACACGGTTTTGGTTAAAATAATTTTTTTTGTATCAGGACAAGTAGATTGTCATGAGGGACAAGTAGATTCGGCCCCCGCTTTAGTCCTTGGACAAGTAGTTTTTTAAAAAATTTCCACACCCCTGGGTGAGTACTCGTACTCACCTAAATGCTCCTGTACCTTCCCCGATACTGGAACTTTTGGTCAAAGGGAAATTTCCTCTGACCGGCAGTGCCGTAGGGGAACATGGAGCCTGCTTCCTGGGCAATCAGGAAGCCAGGTGGCAAGTAATGTCCTGGCTTCCTGATTGGTTGGAAAGCTGGTTCCATGCTGTTTGGCCGGGAAGCCGGCTTGATGCTGATTTGGCTGGGAAGCCGGTTTCCCAACAAATATTAATCAAGCTGGCCAAACAAGATGGAGCCAGCTTCCCAGGCAATCAGAAAGCCGGTTCCATGCCAGTGGATACTCGGTATCGGCGAGTACCGAAAGCAAAATATCGGTACTCGATACCGAAAAACGGGTATCGGTGCATCCCTACTTAGAACCTCGATTCACCTTAGATTCCCCAATTTATACCTAACATGTTGAAGCAAGTTATACTTACTTACGTCCCCTGTCTGGGTGTGGGGGAACTGCTAACCCAGCACTGCAGATGTGCCCTAGACAGCTGGTCCTCTACCATCCCCTCGTGTGACATCACTCCTCTTCTTCATTTCTCAGAGGAACCTGCCACTCGACAGCCAATAGGAAATGTCCATGTCGTGCAGGCAGTGACCTGGAGATCCAAAGAAGAACCCCACAGGGAGTAAGCTAACGAATATAGGAGAGTCTGGATCTGGGGGTCACATGACTGTGACTTTAGATAAGTAAATAGGGCTTTTACATTTTTATTTTTAGTCTAGTGATCAGGTAGAGGGGGTTGGAGAGCTGGGTTAAATTTATCCTGGAGATGGGCTTTAATTTTGCTCTACTTCAGAAAAAAAGATTGAGGCTGAAATACCATTCCTTGAGAGATGTTAGTAATTCTGCATATTCACTTTCACAGAGAGGCAGAGTATGACATAAGCTTGTTTTTAATGAAATTCCCACACCATCTGCCTGAGATTAGACAAGTTTCTATAATTGTCTGTGTGTTCCATGGAATGGCAGAAAATGCTTATTGCTGTGTTCCTTCTTTTAATAAGGCAGATGGCCTGGCTGTTGGATTTAGCAGGAAAAGAAAATACATCAAACACTGTAAAAATAAAACTAACATATTAAAATATGATGCACGAAGCAATGTTGTTTTTACAAGTACATTTGAATAAGACACTTTCCTCTATTTAGTGCTGAATCTAAAGATGTAAAATGAGTCACGGCATGAATAATGGAAACGTGATAGTAGAGAGAATGCATTATCATGATGTTACATTGTTAGTTCATTTTATTGCTAAAAGAAAAGTAAAGGCGAACCTGTGGCTTTTCTTTTCTTTAGGGTCACACGAGTATATTTACTAATGTACATCTGTGACCCAAAGTCAGGAGATGGTGGGCTAATGTCCTCTGCTTTGACTTATTAAAAATGAGGATCACCAGCACTCAGAAGATGATCAAATCTTGATGTTATTTATTCAAATAAAGTTGAAGAAATAGGTCACCAGCACTCCAAAAAGTCACATCTTTTGCCTTGAAGAAGGGACCCTGCGTGGCCCCGAAACATCGTCTCTTTTTGATTGTCGTGACACAATTGTCCAATAAAAAGGACTTATTCATTTTAACTTTTTGGAGTGCTGGTGACCTATTTCTTCAACTTTGTGTTTTGCACGGTGCCATCCATGTTAGTTACTACAAGCACCATTTTTGTTTATTGGCCGGGACTGCTGAAAGGTGTGCAGAGAGCACCCTCACCAACTGCAATTTATTCAAATAAATCGTCACATATATCACATAGCCACACAGGGTCCCTTCATCAGGGCAACATAGTGACTATGTTGCCCTGAGAAAATAACTAAACAGAATCACAATGGTTTTGACAGGTAAGACAGTTCACACTTCTCTATTTCAACTGTACATTTATCTATTAGGCCGCTATATAACCCTCAGATGCAGCACAGATCGACTCCCCATCGACTTCTGGGCAGTGGGGAGCAGATCTGTGCTATGTGGGAGCCCAAAGTATACAGGGTGGTGGAACCCCCCAGGACATTTTGTACTACATCATGTATATATATTAAAGCGTTCTATGTTTTTATTTGTTTGCAGCTTTTTAAAATGGACTCTGTATTAAAAGACAGTTACTTGACAAGTTTTTATCATACTCCTGCTACCAAAGCCATTTCTGACCTTTTCGAATCCAGATCTTCATCAAGAAAACAGTCTTCTTCAACAGTGAAAGAGTCAAATTCTCCTTCTTACAATGTCCTTGATGTTCCCAATAGCAAAGGTAATTAACAAAACAAGTAAAATATTAAAAACAACGAAATGGGGCCCCCGCATAATCAACAACTACCTTGTTAAATATTTTGACAGCAGAATAATCTTGGCTACAGTATTATATATTGTTTCAATCTTTTACTGGCTGTATATGTTATCCAAAAAATCACAGTCAGAAACCCAGTGTAGATGACATAATTTTACAAGTATATGTGATGATGATAAATGTCTCCGTCTCAGGTCACTATTTTCTGTCATATGCCATATAATTTATTGCAGCCAAAGTTCCATCAAATATTTATGCCGTTAATGCAAAATGCAAAATACCAACTATCAATTAGCCTACCAAAAGTGATTCTGTGCTTTTTTCCACATGCAAGGCAAAGCAATAGGTTTACTTATCCACCCTCTCCTTCCCTTTGTTACCCCATCGCTTCAATCTGTTACTGAGAGGGTCTTAAAAAATACACGGCAAGCATGAAAATGTGAAAGTCACAGTTAATGTCTTGTAAACTTTGCAATGGTGACCCAAAATATAGTTGTTAGATGAAGATTAGGTCATACATATTATTCTAAGTAATGAAAAATTAAGAAAAACAAACATTATATCATACAAAACACATTTTCCATAGCTTTTTTGAAAAAATGGTCATTTTGAACCTTTTTTTTTTGCAACATCTTGAAGGTCATTTCGCTTTTCCTGCAATGTAAAAGTTATTGTTACATGCTCTTCACAGCAGAATCCTGTTAAAGTCCATTATGGCCCAATCAAATGAGATTTTGGAGGATCTCGGAAAAAATTGTGAAAGACCTGAAAAAGTATACAAAATAATTAATTTGTGTAGACCTGGCTCTTCATCAGTGCACAGGCAAGCAGTTCCCAATTGAGTTAAATTAATACCATATCTCCTTTACCTGAAAAGGTTATAAGGAGCCTAAGGGTGATTTGTTGCATAGTTATAGCTGACCTCAACAGACGTGTATTTTTTCAATCCATCTCCATAACTATTTAATGATGTTTTTTTTTTTTTTAAACCATTTGTTCAAACTGTGAGATTTAAGATTTATTGCACGTTTTATAGCATTCTCGCAGAGTTACACTAACAATAGTATCTATAAAGGTTTACATAATGATTATAAAATGACTATAACCAATAAGAAGGCAGTTAGTTGTGAAACTACGTACTTCTCTTATCGAATAAGACGGAATGTGTTGATATGTTAATTGACTCCTTTCAATTTAAACATGCCATGGGAACCCAATTTCTTTAGAGACTTAACATGTTCTGTCATTTACCTGTCATAAGTTCTATTGCTGGACATGGACTTTGCTATTGTACAGGTTATACCTTAGCAAACTGTTACTCATGGTTGCATTTGTTTACCATGTGGAATTCAGATCACGGGTTAAGATGCTGAAGCCAGTACAGGTAAATGGGATATACAGCACAGGACAGAATGGCCATACATAAATGCTGAAACAGACGGAGGCCAAGGAATGAGAATCATTACAGATTTGCTCAGGCAGATGCATCAGATCTGACTGGTGTAGACAGTGCCGCTAAATAGCCACAAACGCAGAGTAGATAATACACATGTGAAAGACGGCAGAAAAACTGAACAGCCCTGGTGGGAAAAACACACAGGATACATGACATTAAGGGAGAAAACCCACCAGACTCCGGACACAAATCTGGACTTTTCCTCTTGAGAAGCTAAGTTCCTTTAATTTTCTTCCTCTGTGTCCTTATAGGCCTTTCAATGTGATGGGTGGCCTCAAAGACCAATAGAGAAGCTTCAAAGACAAAAGAGAGCAGAGCCAGGCTCAATTTTTACAGTTCATGTAATTTGTTGATTTGTTTTAGGTTCATTTGTGATGATGCTACGTTTATATGAACTTTGTCACATATCATTCACAACAGCTTTAGTGTCTGCACTGAAAACTCTTCAAGAGAAGATTTCCCGGTTAGAACTGGATAAGTATAAAGCACAGAACTGTTTAACAAGCTTGTCCATGGAGAACAGTGAACAAAAGAAGGCCTTGTCTGAGAAAGAAAAGAGTGAGGCTGCTCAGCGTGAAGCTTTACGGCAGAAAAGTGGTAACAAATCATTTTTACCTAGGCTTTCTGCATAAAAGCAGCAGCATGAAACAGCACTTGGCTTTAGATATATTTTTCATGTTATGTTACCGCATGCTTTGTAATGTGTAAGCGGAAATTTACAGGTATTAATACATCTCACAGAGATCACAGCAACGCCGCTGACAATTCATTTGCCTACCCCTTCCCCCCCAGAAGGGACTTATTTTTGTTCAGGTATCATCAAGGGTCAACCTCTATTTCCTGGACTGAAATGTTGGTCCAGGAATAACACATTTCAAATCCAAATACACCGCGCTATCTTAAATGCATATATCTAAAGACATAAAAATACTTATATAAAACTAAAGTGCATGCATCATGACCACCAAAACCCCATAAACTCCTCCAGTAAAAATCCAGCAATAAAATATATTATAAAAATGTAAAATTGAGATTGTTTAGTTCCACCAGTGTACACCATGCGATCTGATGCACTCCACATGTAACACTCTGAAAGTCACTCCTTATACATCACAATAAATGTCCTTTTTTAAATTCTCCCAGTTCTGTGTAAAGTGAATCTTGTGCTCCACTCCAAACAAACAGGTGCTTCTCAGTGTTAATCCCAGGTGCTTCTGTTAAATATTGCACTCACCGGAATCTTTGGTCCACTATTAGATGTTCTGAAAACGCTTATGTAATCCTTAGCGATCCAGATCCTCCCCCATTCCAGATAGCCGATGGCTACTTCATCCGTATAGAGGAGAGATAGACACCACATAGTGTAAATTCCCTATAAAACTTTATTCATAAATTCATTAGACACATTAATACTCAATAAGCAGCTCCGCATATTAAAAAAACTAAATTTTCGCGCAGTACTCTCCGGTCAGTAATAGCCCGTTCCTGTTCAAATGCTATCGTTCACCTCTCTACCCGGAAACAATCCCGAGATCAACGTGATGACGTCAGCATGTAAACTCCTCCCCGACGTGTCCAATGTCTCGTTGGAACACTTCTGAACGTCCCCTCTCCAGTAGTTTCCGTGCTGGTAATGAGCTAGTTCTAGACACGTGCTAGTAGTGGGGATGGTGTCAGGGTCGCCAGGTTGCTTCTCTATTAAACACACTGCCTTCTGCCTATTTTACACATTAACTAATACATCTCTAACAGTGCCTTATGCCTCTCAATTACACACACTGCCTCCTGTCTGTTCTTCACATTGCCTCATAGAAAATCATAGGAGCTGGTTGGAAAGTTGTCGGCGGAACAATGACTCCATCCAATCAGATGCAGCCACTGTTTGTATATTCGGACAGCTGCGGATTCCGGGTGTCTTAATACAAAAGACCAGTGGGTGACCATTCTATAAAATGTATACATGTATGACAAGATTTACAATGCCATGCCTCATGTGTCTACCTTGTGCAGCATCCTACTCCCCTCTGCTGTGTGGAGTGATGCAGGCTAAGATACTGAACAATTAGGTATAGAAGTACACTTACCGTATTGCAAAGTGATTATACGATCTACTAAGGTTAGGTTGTTTCATAGAAAAATTACAATATAAAATAAAAACTGCTCTCAAGAATAGATTATTGGATGTCAGTCTTCTTTTAAGATAGCCACCCATATTACAGTCTGATTGTACAATCTACTTTAGATGTGCATGTGGGATAACAACCTATGTAAACCATCCACTAAGATTGACTCCAATTCAGGTAGATCTTTGCATTTCATGGGTATTAGAAAATTAAAAGGTTACACCAGAACTCTGGATCAACAATATAACTTAGCCTTGCAGTGGGGCTACCCCTGCACTGTAAGGGTTAAGTGCTAATTTTTTAGAATAGATATGAGGACGCCAAGGGACATTCCAGCAGCACTGCCAGCAATCAGATTGAAACGTATGTGGATAACTTTTAAATATGCTTAGGTCTTGCAGAAATAGTCCTTCTTATTCATCATCATTTGTACAACCTATAAATTGTTTTTAATGCACTCGATCTTATTTGAGTCGAAGATGTTTAGGTTTTCATAGTTTTACATTGTACTTAGTAGATTATACAATGAGATGGTAACACAGATGGCCCGTTCTGACCACAGGTAATGAGGTCAGACCTTAAAAGTTCATATGTATATGCAAATTAATTTAGTACCCCCATTCTGTTTTTAAGAAATGTATACCTGTTGACTTATGCTATATAAACATTGTGTGCGTGTGTGTGTGTGTGTGTGTGTGTGTGTGTGTGTATATAGATATAGATCTATATCTTTATATATCTCTAGCTTCTTTTAAAGCTGAACTCTGGAATAAGCAGATACTGTCTGAATACTTGGTGTGCCTTTATGTATTTCTTCCAGATCTGGGCAGTAAACTTTACCTTTGTGCAGGAGCTTCCTGTATTAAGGCCAGTTACTGCTGCTCTTTGTCAATGTGTGGGGTGACTGGTCTTGTGTGGGGTGACTGGTCTTGTTTTGGCCCCCTCCTTTAGTTCTTTCCAGGCAGCCTGTAGTGGGTTGTGCTTCTGGATCCCTGTCACCATGATTATGTCACTGCTACCTGGGTTATCTGATATCTGGGTTTGGAAAGGCATTTGGTGCACACAATGTAGATTTATATCCTCTGAGGATAAACAAATTGTTTTCTATGTGGCCCAGCGGTAAATGGGGTTGGTCCAGTGCAGAAAATCGCCAATCAACTCTAAGAGTAATGAAAGTGCACTTATTCTTTTAATGATTATAATTTTGTAGGCATACTTGTGAAATATTGTGTATATTTACCATTTTACATTTGAATACTTTGTAAGAGGATGACTCTTTGAGCTGACAATCAGCGAGAGGTCTGACAGCTGCTGCCTGGTCAACTGCCATGGCTGTTATTTTCTGCCGTGACAGCCAATTAGAGTTGAAAGAACTCTGGATCAACAATATAACTTAGCCTTGCAGTGGGGCTACCCCTGCACTGTAAGGGTTAAGTGCTAATTTTTTAGAATAGATATGAGGACGCCAAGGGACATTCCAGCAGCACTGCCAGCACTGTGGAGAAACTACTCTTCAGAGTTCATAACAGAGACACTGAAATCACAACTTATCTGCCCTTAATTTCACTGCTCCTCTAGGTGCCTACACTTTTATATCTGCAGCAGTGTTTTCCCCCAATGACAGAGTTTATGTAAACCATGGAATTAAGAGGTTTTTTTATTGTGTGCAACCTTAATTTGTCCCAACCACTTCATTGTGACTCCTAAAGTGACACTAAACTCAAGAGTTAAATCTTAAAAATGAATTCAAGCATAACTAACTAAGCTAACTATTAATAAAAATTTATCTTATTTGTGTATCACTTGGCTTTAGATCCTCAAATCATCTCTGAATTCATGCTGACACTGTTCTTCCTTCTGGAGGTTGGCCAGTATTGGTCAAGTGGCAATCACAAACATGCCTGCAAATCAATTTGGGTCCCGACCCATACTCTAGGAAACACTGGCCTAAGCTAATCTAACCTAGAACTCCCCCAACACCAAACCCTGCTGCACCCTTACCTCTATATGGCAGAAATCTCCCCTGGTGTTTTCCATATGTGCACGGTAACCCTCTATAGGCAAACATTTGTTGCACTGGGGTAGGTGGGTTCTAGGTTAGGGGACTAAGGTGAGAGGGAAGGCTTCTTTTGGTTATATTTAGGAAGTTCAATCAGGTAAGCCACCTGAATTAGGCAGGAAGCTTAGTAAGAGCAATCATAGCAAGAAATAAATAGTTCCTAATAATAATGTGATTTGGCAATGTCATGTGAATTATGATAGGCTCACTTTAATCTTTAACTTACAAGTTAGGAGATCATTCATGTTACCTCTTTGTTTTGTTCCTGGTCCTGTTCTCTGCTTCCAATTGCATTATATTATCTCAAACAGCAATAACTGTTTTTCTTGTTTAGTTATTTGTTGTCCTTTTCTCTTGAATGCTCCAGATGTAATTACCCAGTTGAATTCAGCAGAGCAGCGTTGCTCACTTCTTGAGAAGCAGTTGGACTACATGAGAAAGATGGTTCACAACGCTGAAATGGAAAAGAATACAGTGCTTGAGCAGCAGGTATTTTCTCTGCTTTCTTCTTTATGCCAGCTATAATTCAACCTATAGTCTGTAAAAGCAGCATGTTCAAATGTTATCACAGTCTCCTTATTTGCCACTGGATACCTCTAAAATCACTGTGCAAGTATCAAATTCCTGAAAATCAGTGGTTACACCACACTAACCTCACCCCCATGTGACCCAGTCGTATTGATTGGTCCCACAGACACTGAATGCAGATTTTTGGGAGAGTAATTTCTATCCTCTACCCCAACCCATACACAGGTGCTCGTTTTTTTTTTTTCTACCAGGGTTCGGTGGTAAATTGAGTGGTAGAGGAGCATTAGATAACAGTGAGCAAGTTATGGTGCCTTCTACCCAGCTGCTGCCATTCTTTTCAAAGTTAATTTTTTAGTCAATCGTCGATTTTAATCGACTAAAACGATTAACTGTTGCAGCTCTATATAAGTATTTACAAAATGTACCTTAGGCCACCACCCTTCACCTTTTTATGTCACGTCTGTTAATATATATTACAGACATATTATGCAAACTTTCCCTCAGGTGTTTTTTTTTTCCTATGCTCCATTTTTTACCCCAGTTTTTCTAGACGGGTATCTCTTATACAGAGTTTTGGGCCATCTCCAGAAACCCTCAGCTAGCTGTCAGCCAAAGCCTGAGTAGAAAAGCATGTGTCCTGCAAGCATGCTGTAGAGATGCTCTCTGTGATCTCTTTGCAGAGGTCTGACAGTTAGAGCTCTCTAATCAGCAGAGAGTAGAAACTTTGCTCATCGGAGACCTATAGCTCTGACATAGTGTAATGAGACCTCATAGATATTCCGTATGTATCTCATAATGTAATTGTATAGCGTTATAGAGTTATTTGTGTATGGTGCATTCAAAATACATACAGGAAACACATGGGGTGTGTGTCAGTCTTCAAAACAGCAACTAATATATATGAAGACCAAAAAAAAAAACAGGTAGCACCAGGCAGACCGGGACTACCTGGCAGATAATAGCCAGGTACCTTCAAACCCCCACAATGGCACGGAGTATGCAGTGTTTACAGCCTCCAGCACTGCAGATTTTTATTTTCTCTCTGAGCCAGCGTGAGGTAGACCTCGCGCACTTGTCTTCCACTTTCAAACACAGTCTGTGCCGTTAGTTAAGTTACCAGTGGTGCTGAAGGCCAGAAATACTGAATGTACTAAGCTATTGTTTGCATGGAGGCCCATGTTTTTATTTTGCCATCATAAATGTATTCTTCATTAAGCCTGCAAATGACCGATCTAGCTAGTTTGTGGCTAAAGCTGTTTTCTCCATTGCCTCTAGACATTTCTTCAACAAGGAAATATTCAGGATAAATTGGAAAAGCTTGAATTTTTAGAGGAGGAGTGTCTTCGACTCACAGCCACTCAGCAGGCTGCAGAGGTAATGTATGTGTTTGTTGGTTCATAGCGGTTTATCAAAACTGGACACAATTTACATGAAGTTGGTAGGGAGGCATTTTGATTATATAATGGATTTTCTTCTTAGTAATCACATTGAAGGACACGGAGAACAGCTTGTCTCTGGTCTTCATAAGCCTAATAACTAACAATAACTGCTTTTATGTGCAGCTTAGGTGATGTAACTTCTTGTTCCCACACTTTAATCTACTGACTCATTTGTTAGCAATACCAAAGAATGCTGTTTAAAAGCCACATAACTGTGGGGCCTTTTTTCTGTTTAATGCTCTGTTTTTTTATTTGCTTTAGAGCAAGATTCATCAGTTAGAGGAGAAATTATATGCAGAGGAACAGCAACGTAAATTAATGGAGACTAAAGCTGTCCAGGTAACTTAATTTGTGCATATTGTTCATCTGTTCTATTAAGCCACAGTGTTTTAACCTCTTGCCGTCCGCCCGTTCAGAAAAAAACGGACGGACGGCAGACTCGCATCACCGGGTTGCCGTCGCCAGACGGCATTTTTTTCCTGCTCGCGCGCGCCCCCTAGCACGCGCGCACGGGCAGGAAAGACCCGCTCGTCACTACAGCCGTTAACGGCTGTTTCACATACAACCGATCAGCGGCTCTATAGCCGCCGATCGGTTGTATGGCGTGAATTTC